TATTGATCGGCGAAAAATCCGCACATATGATTTTTTATATGTGTGCTCAACTATGTTTGTGTTTATTATAATTTGTAGCACCCCAACCAGTCGTGCTTATCAAAATCTAAGCCATTTTGTCGATCAATACAATGTGAAACTAAAAAGAAAGAACAACGGTGACGTGTACCAGTAGAGAAATCAATTGAACGAGTAAAACTTTTGGCCAAGTATTTCCCGAGTTATTATTATTACTTGATTAATATTCTTTATGGGGAAAAAAATTGCAATAAACACTTTGTTACTAATTATCATTTAAAAAGACAGATAATTCAAAATTCTCATCCGTGGAAGGAAGACATTGAGAATGTATAATAATAATAAAATCTGTAGCTGATGGTTTTGGTGCATGTAGCCTTCCATATTTATCGAATTTTTAACAAAAACGGTTAATGCATTTATCATTTTACTTCTTATTATTAGTAACGTTATATATTAATAACAAAGTAAAATAAGCATTGGTGAATAAACAAAATGATTCTTTGGGAAGGAATTTTTTGTAAAATTAGTAATTGTTTTATTGTAGAGAATGTGTTCATTTGTATATATTAAAGTTTAAATTTAATTGTGAAGGAGAAAATTTTAATAATGATGATCATTAGATGCATATCTAATTATTTTTATCATTAAAAATAACAAAAAATTCAAAGATTTCGTTTTTGTCGTTATAAAATCATATGACATATTCAATACAAATAAATATGGACTTTTTAGAAATGCAAGATGACATCACTACTTCTATTGACAATGTTAATATATGTATAGATAAATTTCTTATTATAGTAATAATGTAATAATGTTTTGATAATAAATAATACCGGCTAAGCCAATTTGATTTAGCTTGGCCGGGCACTTCTCAGAAGTCAGCCTCATCATTGGTTTTTGATAATAATCAAATAAAAGGGGAATAAGTCTTTACAGTTGACAATTTTATTAGCCAATTTTTTATTTCGATTGCTTAATAGGTACTACAGTACAACAAAAAAAGTAATTTTACAAATCTTGTTGTTCAAATTAAATTTACTTGAAAATACCGGAGAGCTCAGTACTATCCGAGAGGTTGTTTTCATCAGCTGGAAATGTGTTTACAAAGTAAAGAAACAGATTTGGTAAAATGTATATATTCTTTGTTAAAAGAAAATTCAATGCTTTTTAAATGATTATTATTTAGATTTTTTATCGATTTTTTGGTCATTCATATAAATATATATTATTTTATCCAAGATAAATAATTTATTAACCAGCTAAGGTTTGTTTAACGGCTGATATCATCTCTGGGAAGTGGCACAGTTACACTCTTATTATCATCCAAGAATCTTCAAGTCCTTTAGATCTCCCCCACAAAAAGGTCACTTTTTTGTGAGGGAGAGGGTTTCACCCAGGTTTAATAATGGATGTTCTAAAATATGTAACATTTCATGCTTTCATTGTTGGTATCTTGATTTTACTCAATATTTGTTTTATTAAATCCAAGTTTAGCATATCCTGCTTAAGTCCTCGTACTATTGCACAAAAACTAACATATAATGAACACGACTTATAAAAGTCTCCACCTTTTTCCTAACACCAACGAAAAATTTACGTAATTCCATTCCTAATCCAAAATTGGCTTTCTAGCGAAATTTTATACCAACTTTGTGTTGAAAGCTCTGTATTTACCACCTTTAAGTATAAATCACATCATCTAAATTCTTTATCAAGTATGTGGGGAGGCAAAATCATTATTGATACTAATTTTATCAGCTTCAAGAGCATCTCTTCTATTAAATAAATTGTCAGAAATTGTTTCAATGTCTTCACCAGCAGAAACATCAGATATTGATTCAACAGTTAACAATCCGTGTTAAAAAGTGGAAAGAACAATAGGTAAAAAATATAAAAAAGGATGCTTTAGTATTATTTGTACATCAGGAAAATGGGTACAGTGCAAATCACTTAGTCCCACAACTTTTTATTGGTCGTGTAGATTTTCAAATTCTCCAAAAATGGAAATGCAACACCCAAAAATAAATCGTGTATTTGAAGCCAAGACCTTCCTCTGCAAAATCACGATTTCATCTCATTGGTATGTCATGTTGTTGTGGAGAATTTGAGCTTCAAAGTTGCACAAGTTTACCGAATTTACTATGTTTTAGCCCTGAAATGGCGTGTTACACACAAAAAAGTTAATATCAAAAATAGGCGAATTGAAAGAAAATAAAAATAAAAATTTTTTTTTTATATTGCTGATCTTTTATCACGTGAATTTCCCAGACATGAATCAAAAAAGAATTTTACAACAAACAAAAATCATGTGACCATAAAATTTTTATTGCATTTTTGATTGGGAATTTTTCCCAAAATTGGCAGTGTGGCGCAGAAAGTTGTGGGACTAAGTGACTTTCACTATAGAAGTAACAAAGCCTCTTGGAAGGCAACGATGGGTTATTTTGTAAACTAAAGAAGGCAAGTAACACCATTAGATGAAGTTTTGGTAATTAAAGGATACTGATCTTGTGCTTGATATAGTGGTAGTATCAGATTGTCTCTGGATGTGAATGCAACTTGCTTCTTTTACAATCTGCTGTGGTTGCTCCAAGACTTGTATCTACTGAACCTAAACAGAATGCAAGGTCGAATTTAAAAGAGTTAATTTTTGTATTATTCATTTCGTCGAAAGTTTGTTTCGTCAAATGTTCATTTCGTCGAAAATTATTTCGTCACAAAAAAAAAACTTCATTAAACAGATTCCTCCTCACACTTGCCACAAACTCCTAATTTTCTTAACTAACTTCCCATACTCCTCACATCTAACTCGTTTGGTCTCTGGCTCAAGGATGAAATAATTTTTGACGAAATGAACTTTCGACGTAAACTTTCGACAAAGTAAACGCGACCCGTATGTTGAGTTTGATTGCTTGGTGAACTACTAATAGATAATATGAGAGAGGATATAATTAATTCATCATTAATGATTGACTACTTGCAGCAAAAAACCTACTTTAATTTTGGCATCAGAAAAAAGATCCCACGAATGAATATACACAAACCTTTAATTATATCATGAAATTAAATTCTAAATAACCAAATTCTCTCATTTAACCAAAACACCACCTTGCCAGATACTGTTTCATTAGTTTTTGTGGTGATTTTTACCAATCTGATCATGAATAGAATCGACGACATTTTTGATGATGATAAAAAAATTGCAGGTAATAAAATAATATGATATTACATTTATTGTTGTCATTTGGCGCTAGTATTTATAACTTGAATCAACAATAAAGTAGATTTACAATCAGCATACTCACACGAGAAATCAAATTAAATGCAGCCACGATCAACCAAATTTGATTAGCTTTAATTACATAAACACTTTATTCTACCACTTTGGTATTATTAATTTATTGCGATTTACCAAATTGAGTTAATATTAACCCAATATTCAAGTTTTTATCATACACGTATGTGAAACACGTGCACAAATGAGCAAAGAACGAAAATTCGAAAAATATATGTTTAGCTTTTTTGATTTTTGTAACAATGTTACTTTATACTTTATACTTTATATATTAACAAAAAGTAACTGACATTTATTTAATTGAATCAATCATGAAGAAAACTTCGATTTGATTTGATCTACAAGGGATCAAAGGAACCAAATTTCAATCAAAATTTTTGATTCTTTTTTTAAAAAATTTGTTCCCAAAAAATTATTTTATCCTAATGATAATTTCATTATCATTGTCTATATCATATCATTGTCATATCATTGTCATATCATTGTCATATCATGTCCATGCCCTATTCTTAATACTATACTTAAAGAAATCAGTTCATTCCCGTGAAACCCTGATTTACTTTTTGGGACATTCTTCAGTTAGGCCGGTTTTATTGTTTTTTTTATTATTTATTTTAAATGGTAATGGTGATCATCACAGAAATTTCCAAAAATCGTTATGGAGTTATTAAAAAGTCAAGATATTCGTTACACAATTCAATGTCAGTTCTAACTAACTAACTAATAATGCGAATCAAGTGTAACCGATGACATTTTTTATTTTTCTATATATATATGTCTGCGAATCAGTGTAACCGATAACATTTTTTTCTTCGAATAATATAAAAGCGGTGACCTTTTCCATTTTCTATCAATGAGAATCTATGGTGAGGCGGTCAGCATAGTGGAAGTTTGTTGATACACGAAATGTTGTACAGAACTCATTGCTTCTGAAACTTCGCCGGTGTATAGTTGTTACCTCTCTAAATTGGAGATCAAGTTCGGATCAAATTCAAATCCAGTTTATCACTTACTTTTTATTGCCAGAATGTTTGCCGTGTATTTTAAAGCTACGTTGCACAATATAAAAAATTAGTGTAACATTTCAAATTTCCACTATGCTGAGGCGGTCACATTCTTTTTTTTAAAGTACTTTCGAATCATAGTGTTTTCCCAGCCCTATATTAATATGCAATTTTAGAATCGTGTAACAAATGCATAAATCCCTTAAACGGTTTTTCGGCTATTGATAGCAGAAATTTTTTTTTCCTGTTATAAAAAACTTTTTCTGAAGGTACCACTTCCTAATACGAAAATGATCTTTGAGATTTAGCTGATTGAACTGTGAATAAAAATTCGGTTGTTGTCCTTGTGGTTTTTGTAAAATCTTCCTTAAAAGTTGGTCGATTGACTATTTTTACTTTACATATCGTTAAATTGGCCAATAAGGATGCAAGGTCGTGATCAAAAAATCATTTTGTGTTACCATTAAAGAATACTACTTTGACCGTTTAAGAGATAAATTTATAAATAAACCGTGTTAAATGTAGTAAATATTGTAATTATGATGTTGGTAGTAATATAATTAATTATATTGAAACATTTTTTGAAACATTTTTTAATTTTTATAAATGTGAGAAAAAAATATCACGCATTGACAAAATATCTTTTTCTTTGACTTGTCATACTTGACGAAATTGATAATTAAATTGACTAATTAATATTAATGACCGAAAGGTAAATATTATTTTCCTTAATTTTATATAATGACATTATAAACCCGTGGAAATATCAAGCATTTTTATCTAGTAGGAAAATTATAAAACATTTCGTTCAGAAATACGTAAAGTGATACTGACGAAGGAATTAAAAATAATGGACGGGTTAAAGTAGTAAGTAGCATTATTTTTTTTTACTCTCATGTAGATTTTTCTTTAATTGTTGTATAAAAACAGTAATAATTGTCATTGTAATGCAATGATGGGCAAATTATAACTGAAGAGAGTTCATCGTGGGAAAAATCCTTTATATTTATGGGTAAATTAACAAAAATTGTCACATTAAATTAGTCACATTTTTGTTATTGTTATAACCTAATATGTTGATAATTGATCAATAATCCCTTATTACTATATTACAACAAAGTATCATCAATTACATTAAGTTAGTCACTGCATCTAAGATTTTACATGTTTGTTCTGGTCTTATTTTAACCTAATGTATTAAATTTGTTTCAATACCAATTGTCCGATAATTGATCGATATAATTGATAAACACATCTTTTTTTTCCCAAAAAAAATCTCCCATGAATTTTACCTTATAAAACTCTCATGAAAACCTCTCATAAACTTTAAAAAAACTTTTCTTAAAAAATTTTCATCAAAACCTTTTTTCTAAAAGAAAACTTTTTAAATAAACAAACACGTTTTTACACCTTTTACAAAAAAAAAAAAGTTGAAATCAACATAACTGTTATGTTTACAACAGCTAACATTGTCATTCTTCTTGATATTTGGTAACTGTTTTAATGGAGTTGCTATACCCACAAGTTGATGAATAATTACCATCTTTATCCGAAATCAACACTCTTGACAGTTCTATTCTTGTTGATTTATAGTTGAGAGACCAACATCATAATTTGATTCGTCATCCAAGTTAATATCACAATCTGATTTGACATCTGAGCTAAATTGTGATGTTGGCTTAGATGATGAATCAAATTATGATGTTGGCTTAGATTACAAAACTGAAGTCGATGGTGAAACCTGAAATCATTACCGATAATGTTGCTGTGATTAAACAGCATGATAAAGAATTGTTGTCACTATTATCATTTTTATCTACAACCAATATGCTTCAAGTTATCGAATCAATCCAAGCAATCGAATCATCATCATCATTTGACAACACTGAAATTATTAAAAATAAAATCAATGATGAGCAAAATCAAGAAAGTATTTTGATGACAATGCAAGATACACAACTTGAACCAGGAATTGCTACCGATAATATTGCTGTAATTGAACAGCATGATAACAAATTTTTTTCACTATCATCATTTTTATCTACAATCAACGCCAATATGCTTCGATTTATCAAATCAATTCAATCATTCAAACTATCGTCATCTGATAACACTGAAAAAATTGAAGCGATTAAATCACCATTGTTGTCTGAAAATACTGAAAACTTGAGGCGATCGGATCATCATCATCATCATGTGAAAATAGTGAAAAAATTAAAGCAATCAAATCATCGTCGTCGTCCAACAACACTGAAGAACTCAAAAACAATCGAATCATAATACTTGTCCAATGAGAATGAGCGTAATGGCAATGACTATTCTTCATCATTCCAATCATTATTGTCAGCAATTGATACTGACATACTTCAAGCGATTGTATTATTGTCGCTAAAAAATATTGAAGAATTCAAAGCATCTTACTCGAAGAAAGATTTAAATTGCTCAAGTATTGATTTTAGTTCAAATGAAAAAGAATGCTTGTCCAATGAGAATGGCAACAGCAATGACAATTCTTCAGTAATTGAATTGCCACAATCACATTGTTATCAGCAATTGACACTGACACACTTAAAGTCATTGAATCATTATCTTTAAAAAATATCCAAGCATTCAAAGAAAAATTTAAATTGCTCAAGGATTGATCCCAATCTTGTGTATTGTAAATGACATCTCTCAAAACCAGCCAGCCATCCCCCCAAGCAACACACAATAATGATACCAACGTCGTCAGTATCTCTATTCCTATTTTAATCTAATGTTTGGGCTCAAATGATCAAAAAGATGAAGATAATTGGTTGAAAATTGGTTCATCAGGGAATTTTTTCTGATGCGGATTTATATAATTATTACACTATTTATGTAAGTTTGCGGCAGGCCCCATAATATTTTGCAAAAATCATACAAAAATTATGCAATTATTACATTGAGTGTAAATATTACATAATTTTTTATGCAAATATTACAACTTTACATATTGAAATTTATGGACATAATATTACGGTGGGGAAAATTTCCTGATGAATCATAGGAATGAGAAGTGAAAAGGCGTCATAAATCATCTTTATATAATAAATTTTTTTATAATTTATTTTTTTTTCGTTTCTTTGGTAAAGGATTATTTTTATAAGACAGAGTTGTAGAATGATGGCTTTTTTTAAAAAAAAATGAGTATGTTTTATTTTATTTTTTAATAAAGAAAAAAAAAAGATTAATACGCATACAATATATATATATTATTATTAAGCATTCAACTACCAATAACTATTGTCAAGATGATCATAACAGGATTATTTGTAACAAAATTAGCAACTAAATTCAAATAAATAAATTTTACATTACTTCTTATTGACACATAAACTTATATTCATATAATTCCATCAATTAAATATTTAGTGAAATCACAGATAAAAAATGCTTGGTAAATTTCACAAGCTCAGCAAATGGTAATCCTTTCAAAACTGTCCCAAAAGGTATTTTATTATAATATATGCATATCTAGATTCATACATTCATGTTCTTTGTATCCGTTCTTACACCTACACTAAAATATATTATTGATAGAACCACCTTCAAAAGCTTCTCGTCAACAACAACCATCAGTACAGCAAAGATCTGCAACATCTGGAAATTTACCAATTCGTCCTATTATGAGACCGACAGGCGGTGGAATGGATTTCCATAATCGTAATTCATCAGCTGCAGCATTCAGAAATCGACAAATGGTTCCAGGCCCGAGAGATTTCTTTTCACAAAACATGTCACCATATGGTACTGGCGCTTTCGGAACAGGAGCAACGGCAGCAGGTAGAGTTGGCTATATGAATAGCTTTGGTGGACCTAATGACGTATCTTTTATGATGGCACGTGGTAGAATGATGAATGCAGCAGCCATGCAAAATCAAGCGGCGGCGGCGGCAGCAGCTAGACAAAGAATGATGAGTCGTGGTATGATGCGTGGTGCTTACAGCGAGGATTTTATAGGTGGTGGTAGTGGTGGTAGTGGTGGCGGCGGCGGCGGCGGCGGCGGCGGTGGTGGTAGTATGAGTAATTTTGCTAGTAAGTTTTTTTAAAATAAATAAATCACATTATATAAAATTTTCTAATTATTTTTTAATTGATAATTAGCACCAACAGGGCCAGGAGCAGGGTATCCTGCACCACATTTTAATCCAGCATTTTTCGATCAAGGATTAGGAAATGAGGATGTACCAGTAGCACCAAGAGGACAAAGGTATTTCCCCTAGACTTTGGAATATAGATTAAATTAATTAATTAATACAATATATATATATATATATATACAATTATTAAACAATATATTTTATTATTCATATTATTATTTATCATTATTATCATCACTTTATATTTATAACATCATAATTAACATCTCTCATATATTATAAATAATGTTCATTTACATAGTCAATCAACTATTACTAATCGATCAATCACAAATTTTCGTGATTAATTTTCAATTAAAATTATTATGATTATTTTGTAGCAAAAAAAAAGTTTAATGTATTATTTGTTAACTTGTATAATATGTAGCTCTAGGTTTTATCATTAATATTGAAAAAATCCACGCTGA